GACTTTTTCCTTAGACGCACCCTTCATAGCTCCTGTAATCACAAGAGCTGACTGATATTGAAGCATACTTAACCGAGCTAAGTTCTTTTCCGATGTTCCAGAGTATATGACAGAGACATAAAGCAAACAGAAGAACAGATTATAATTTATCGTAGAAAACAGATTTTGTCGTGAATATTAATTTAAACGCATTTATTAGTAGACCAATCGCCAAATGGCATTGTAGGTCCACGATTCTCATATGAGGAAGATGTGTGGGCATGATAAAAAAAACAAAAACATTGAAGATAGAGAAATAAAACGCATAAATAAAAGTTTAAAAAGAAAACGGAACAAATATGTGAAATGGTCTAAATGTAAGGGAGTAAAGTGAATATTCGAAATCCGCCTATTCGATTGTCAGTCTCTCGTTTAGTAATAAAAGAATAATCTTTTAACAGTGAACATCTACTATCGGGTGGTCCAGATAAAATCGGATACTTTCATTCGTTGTTCATGAGGCATTGTCCGATAGTCCACAGAGTTGGTTCTAAGCTCAATCGATAGAGAATTGAATTTTCTACAAAACTTGCTATTTGAATCTCTGATAACAGTTTTGTCGTTTGTGCACTATTCAAAATATTGAAGAGTGCTGAGTTTTTGCCTGACTGCGACAAGCTTTTGTCGTCTCCTTTTTTAAGATGTTTAGCCTATTATCTGAGGTTCAATAGTTAATTTATCTACGTAGATAGATAGAGAATTTTGTGCTCTATCGATCTCACTTCTTACAACTTCATACAATGTTTCTGCTACGCCAGCTAAACTTATAATTATCTCTCAATCGATTTTTCAATTTTTTCAAATTAAATTAATTTTTTTAATTAATGGTTTCAATTTAGAAACTTTGTTTAAATATGAAACGATGCCAAATTTAAGTCTGCGTAAGAAAATAAGACTAAAACCCTAGATTCACAACATTTTACTGCTTTTATAGGCCAAAAACTAAATTCTGTGAAAAATAGGTTCAAAACTTAGGTTTTATTGGATTTGTCAGTTTTTTGCACAGACAAATTTTCTTTGAAGGCTTAACTGTAAAATTTCGAAAAATATGTGAGAACATGCAGAATTTTCCGGTAAATCTTCTGGTGTTTTCAAAATTCTTATGAAATCTGTTTTTGGATCAAGACAAATATTTTTTCTATTTTCAGTGGGTCGTAGTTAGGCAACTCAGCACTCTTCAATATTATGAATAGTGCACAAACGACAAAACTTTTTTTTTTCACCCTGTTTTTGGAAAAAAAGGAGTAATCTCGGTAACCCTTTTTTAACAATTACTCCGGAGTACTCGAAGTGTATGTTCTTAAAAGGAGTACTCCAAAAACTACACTTTTTTTGACGTCCTCTGCAGTGCCTCGGCTGTACCTCATAAAAAGGAGTGCTCCGAAGCTCCTTTTTCATGCTTGGGTATACTCTAGAGTAGCTTTTTTCAAAAGGAATTCTCCAAAAACGGAGTACACCTTCACACTCCTACTTCTGACCTTCTTTTTGACTGGAAGGTCAAAAAAGGAAAAACCCTCTGGAAAAAATTTTTTGCTCTTTCTTACTCGGCCTGCCAAAAGTCACGAAATTTCATTTTTTCGTCTTCTGCGCTCTTTATTCCGGCAAAGAAGCAATACTTATCATTGAAATTTATATCAGTAATAGGTATTAACGGGTTCTACTACTAAAAACAATTTGAACTAGACTGTTCAAGCGGATCAAAAGTGATAGACGCCGTCACGGAATTTCAAAATATGGAATTTTTTTTCTAGATATTCCGGTAAAATGCAAATTACTCAGCCTTAGATTAATTTTGAAACGGTTGTTTTGTTATCAAGCTAAAGCTCTCAGTATGGGCTATTATAATCACTATAGACTATTCCTTGAAAAGTTACAAAAACTGAATCTTGGCAGTCTCAGGAAAGTCCGCACCCTGTCCAGACCGTTACAGACGAAACTCTCGTTCATTGAATTCGCCATCGTTTTTAGCCTATTTGACGCCGGTTTCATTAAATTTGGATGAAAAAATAGAGACTTAGTCGAAAATCACTTGGACGTTTGTTGCTTCCTTCCAAAGAAAGCCATTTTTCCCGGCAAGGAAGCTGAACTTAAAAAATCGGCACGTATACTTTTGAAGAGGAGCTCGCGGCGAATCTACCCATGCCAAAATAGCTGAGTTTGAACCTCTCAGGAAACTGTTTTTGAATTTCGAAAAACGATCGGCATTTTTTCGAGGTTCGGGTTTCGGGGGTCCGGAAAAATCCAATTTTGGTTTTAGAGGTTCGACACTTACTTTTCTAGAATCAGCTTTCGATTCTGAATCCAATGAGCCCACTCTTGAATCACAAAAATAAAACGCGAAAAAACTAGAGTCATTTTTCAAAAACTCTCTTTTTTTTGCGGTTTTGGACACCTTCAGAGTATTTTGAGGCTGGCTCAGCGAGAAACGGGTTTTGGGAGCCGGGAAAGTGTTTGCCGTGATCAGCGTTCAATTCTCTATCGAATGGTATGTAAAAAGTTCGAAACAAAATTTCACTTGAATTGTGCTATATGTGCATCTTATGTCTCGCCGGCATCGGATACAAATATTTGGCAGCACAAAGCTCCTGAGTTCCTTAATGGAAAGACACAGTTTTCGAATGTTTTTTGCTGTTATAGGCAGTCAGACGTTTAGAAAAAAACAAAAAATCATGCTTTAACATAAATGAACACTAAATTTTTTCTTTATTTTTATTGTTCTGAGTTCGATGCGATCAATCAAGGACGGTCTACACCTGTTAATTCAATATCAATGTCGAGAAAAATGAAAGCTGAAGTAAGAACTTCTGTTTCACAACAGACTGAAATTTTTATGCGGAAGACAGGCAAGCAAAGCAGTCTTATTTTTGAAAAATCGAATATCTATCCAGATCTCGGTAAATTAGCTAGAAAACTTTACGTGTTCCGGCAACATCGGCATCCAGTGAGGGCATTTTTGATTAGACGCAAAAGAGCAGGTTTTATGAAAAATGATCTATCTCAACTGATATTGCCAAAATGTAATAGAAGTTTACTTTAGTAACTTTTTCTGTTTCATCACGACCGATGTATTAAATAGCACAGAAAAAAAAATAATAATAAAACACAATCGTCAAAAAGGAATCTAAAAGATTGCCGGACTCGAAATGGACTTGAAATAAATTTTTAAGGACTCGATATTTGACTCGCTCAGCTCTGCACTGATCAGCGATAAGCATTTTAATAGCGTTTCTAATAGGTCAGATTAATTTAATACAAAACTAGTTTTTTCGGTAAGACAAGGAAAACTATTACTTGTATATTAAATATACAATAAAGAAAATCGTATAAAACAGAGTGTACAAAAGTAATAGAAGAGGTTAATAAAAATGTATAATTATATTAGTAAACTATATGTTGAACGAACATACATTAGACTACATCTATGTATAAGAACACAGAACGAGAAGTTAAATTGGAGATTGTTTCAAAAACAATATTAATCTTTACATCTCATTTGACGTTAATCCACTACTACCATCTGGTTGACGGTCGTGATCTGAAATTGTTTTTTCATTTAATGGACGCTTTTGATCGAATTTACTAAAAGATGAACCTGTGAAATATAAAATAATTTGATTATAATAATAAATATTATTTTCAATTTTTACTTAGATATGTGTGGTATCGAAATGATTTGGCTTTATTAGATCGTAGATATTTCAGGATAATAACTATTCCTATTGATATGAGTAATAAAGCACCTAATATTGGTAATACTATAGCTAAAATAATGGTTTTTGATTTGTTTTGTTTCTGTACAGATTTTGTCAATTGGCTACCATCACGATTGTATACCCCGTATCGTTGTTCAGTACCGAATTCCCTACAGTAAAAGAAAACTGAAACATGCTTGAAGCTACAAATGATTACACTTACTGTTCAGTACAACAATACTGACGATTTTTTTCTCCACAACAAAATACTGCAGACGGATCAGTATCGGGTAAAGGACAAGGAAATTGACCGTACGAAAAGCCTTCAAAGTTTTCTACGTTTGTACAAACTGTTCCACGTCCATCAGTAACTAAAAATATTTGTTTGCTTTAGATTCATATTATAAAATAAAATATTATAACATACTCTGATATTTTGGATATGATTTTTCTCCTCTAGTTCGAAAAACACGTGCTAGTTTCGATAAGACAAGTTGACCATTACTTAATCCAATATCTTTCATTTTGCCTGTCATACTAAAAGAAAACATTACAAAAGTATTTAACATACGACAAATATAAGTAAAATAATCACCTTAGTGCGTCGTTAACATAGTAGCCATTATTTAAAAACCAATCTCTATTTGTATTATCAAACCAACCGTTTGAGACAAATGGAGACATTTGGATATTACCTGAGCGATAAATTCCATTACTTTTTCCAAAAGAGATCCGTTTATTATTATTACCATTTTGTGGAGGTTGTTGATAGGCTGATCGATCGCCTGACAAAGGGATAAAATTTTGTTGCTGCTGTTGATCAATGTAAACACGTGCTTGCGGTAATTCTTGATTATTCTTCAGTCCTTGTTGTACAGCGTCCACTGGATACTGATTTGATTGAGCAAAAGGAGGAAATTGATACGGTTGATCACCGTTACGATTCTGGGGAAGATTTAAATTAAAACTATCTTGTTGTTGATTACTGAATTTGTCAAAATTTTGTTGATTTGGATTGATTTGTTCATTTTGTTGAAAATTTGGTAAAAACTGTGGTTGTTGCTGGTAAAGGTTATCAATTGGTTTCTGAACATTGTTATTTAGAAAATTTTGATTGCTATTCTGTTGATTGATTCGTTGCTGTTGCCGAAAATGACCATCTAGTGAAGATTGTTGCTGTTGTGGTATAGGAGCAAAATTTTGTGGAGGATTATTTAGATTTTGTTGTTGCTTATTATGTATAGGGTTCACTTGTCTTGACTGGTCGTTCATATCAAAATATTGCCTTTGACTGTCATACTTTAAATCTGCAGCGTAGCCTGACGGTCCCTGTCGTTGATTAACACTTCTATCATTTACATTTGGAAATGGTATACCTGATCCTTGTCTTATACCTGTATTTGATATCCCTTCATCGGAATTTTGACGACGTTGACGATGATGTATGTTCCATGCATCTAACAACGAAACTGTTCTAGCATCAAGTATAAAAGTTTTCAAAATAAATTCGACGCACCTGTTATAGAGCCAAAAATTAAAAATAATGTAAAAACGTAGTAGTACATCATTTTTTAATAATTATCAATAAATTTTAATGTCTATTCTTACACATTCAATATAATAGTCTTGATGTTACAAAAATTTTCTTTTTTCTATTTCTCTCTCTTCTCACTAGTACTCTTTATAAAACATGTTAAAATTTTTTTCTTCTTGTATGGCAACTCTTTGATTTCTCTTTCCTTTTTTTAATGTTATTTCTTTTCATTCCACAATGATTATATTGTGTCATATTCGTCATTTTTTTTTGTCTCTAAAATATCAAAAACTGAGTGACGGATCGAAATATTTTTTTCTCGTTCTTTTCTTTATTTCTTAATTTGCAAACTATATGTAAACTCTCGTTTTCATATTTTCACCTATACACTTAACAAAAAAAAGTTATATAAATATGCAGTAAGCACATGACTAACCTGATGACAAAACGTAAAAAAATCATAATGAGACCTAGAAAAGAATGCATCTACAAGGCTGTTTATGAACTCGACAATATATTCGCAACGGCAAGATTCAGTTCTCCCAAAGACAAGGACATAAACATCACCAATCAGAGAATCATAAGGAAGTTTGAAGGCAACCCATAAAAGCAGTCAGACAAACGATTTTCGATCAAATATTTTTATTTGACAGACATTTGTAAAGGATGTCATTCGATACAGTTCCTCGTGCAGATCAAGAGTCTGATGTTGGTTTTGAGGGAAAAGGAGTGAAAACAGGCAAAATTTCGACTGTCTTAGTCTTTTCCTATTGTTTGCTCTCTATATATACATTTTTAATTTTTCTTATACATGGCATTTTGATAGCACTATTTGACAAAACATTTAGCAGATATATGCGCTCTTGACAGTTGCTAATCCCCCTCCCCTCGGTCCAGAATAGAAGGTCATCTCTGAGGCAATTTTGTAAAATTCATCTTAGAAGATCATGACTTTCTAATACGACCACGCCCCTGTTTTCGAAAACTTTTCAGCATTTGACTTCTAGAAATCGTGAAATTACGCTTTATTATTATTTTATCTGACTGTTTATGACTAGCAACGCTTCGGAGATGTAAAAGCAGTCTAAAGCCTAGGTTCTCAATTTTTGAGTGCCCTAGAACATTACTTAGTTAACTGTTGTGAAACGAAAAAACACATTACTTTAAGGGCGCCCCCTCACAAATTATCTCCTACACCGTGCATCCGGTCTTGACGAAACTTTCCATAAATGTTCGGCACAATGAGTTACTGGAACGAAAAAAATTTTTTGTCTCCAAGTCTTACGGTTTAAGAGTTTTCCAGAGATCAAGGTTCAAAAAGGTACCTGAACGGCGTCCCGAGATTTTTTAATATACTTCAAGCTGGAGAAGCCGGGTTTGTTTTATTTTAAACTAGACACCTAACTACATCGACTGACCGGCGCCGATTTTTCAATTAAGCCTTTATTGGTTTTCCAGGCAACCAACAACCTGCGAAACCCGAAAAAGCCTTCCGGATT